TGTGTTTGTGTGTGTGTGTGTGTGTGTGTGTGTGTGTGTGTGTGTGTGTGTGTGTGAGAAAGAATAAATAATTTTATTCAGCATGGATACATTAAATTGATCAAAAGTGACAGTAGACTTAAATTTATAATGTTACAAAAATTAAAAGAAAAAAAATATTTAAAAAAATAAATAAGTAATAAAGAATAAATAAATTATAAAAAATCAGCATATTAGAATGATTTCTGAAGGATTCTGAAATTATTATTATTATTATTATTATTATTGAGTCTTCCCCACAGCTTATGGATGTTTCTGTGTGGTGGGCGGTAATGGACTCCTACAATATTCTTTTGAAATCATCTCATTAAATGCTGCTATGTTACCATAATTCAGAGAGCAGACTTTTCAAGCACACTCTAAGTAAGTGCAATTATCCTGATAGAGTGCTTCAGCACCTTTGAAACAACTTGCGGTAAATTGCCTCACTTAATGCCATGCAGGCATTGGTCATATGAAGAACTAGAACATTAGAACTGATGCCTTGAGGTACTACATCAACACCACTTGTTAACACAACAGGGTTGCAATCCCTACTTGTTTTATTGCACCATCATTTTTGACCATTTTTATAGATCGAAATGTAGAGTGTTTGAGGTTGCTGATGAGTTTCCATGAGCGGATTCTTAGCTGCTTATTTAGGCAGTAGAGAACGGTGCCATTTACTCTGAGCTAATGAGAGAAAAACACAGTTTGATATAAGAAATGCTATGATATTACAGAGTTCATAACCAAGACATCAACAGGTCTCTTTCATATAGTTTTCTTTCAGAGAGAGAATAGTCAGTGCTGGAAAAAGAAGTGAATTTGGAGTTGAAGGGATCCCATGAGAGTATGTGTCTGAATGGGTGTGAATAACTGAATAACTTAGATACACGCTCAGTGCTGTCATCTCGCTCCTCACAAGAGACAATCCCAGCTGATAATGTCTCATTGAGACTTTACTCATGGCTTTGTTTAAGGGACATTCTCTGAAAGGCCTCGGTGATAACATCAGATAACCGTTGGTTCTGCAACTTCGCTGAATCCCCAGGAGCTTCTAAAGGGCACAAGGACTGTATGTTTGCTTAGGGGTCAAGGTTTGGCTGTTAGCATGGTCCAGTTAACTATTGCCAGTAGATGCCATAACCATCTGAGGGTGAAAATCTTCTTTGTAGCGTCTGGACCAATCAAACACACAATTTTTCATTTGATTTAGCAAATCAGTTATTCATTAGATTAACAAATCGTCACAGACCCCTCACCCAATAAACTGGGTGCCAGGATGTCTGCGAACGACACCAGGCCCCCCCTGGTCCCCATGGCAACTATCACTGGTTTTATGGCCCAAAGGAATGTGAGTAGAGAAAATCACTACCTTTTCCATAGGAAGAGACACAATGCACAGTAGAAATGGACTCTTCTCTAATTAATCCATACGAAAACCTTTCTTTGAATGAACACACATATCCTTCAGGTCATTGTGTATGTTGTCTTTGATATTTTATACTGTTTTATGCAGACTTATGATGGAACCACTCATTCCTGTCATCTTACCTATATGTAATCCTACCATGTTAAGTATCTATGAATTCGTCTTCTGATGATCTAAACGAGAGTGTATATTATATGTTGGTAC